ACACCACACACAAACACTCAGTCAAAATGCTACTAAGAAACTGAGTTATAACCCTTGTCTTTCTGTTGGACAGAGATATAAATACTGAATGTGGCTGTTATATTTTTTACAGAATCTTGGCCCAAAAACATCCTTATCTGTTTCCACCATTGATGACGAGACTGACGAACATAGAGTCAATAACATACAATCCAGGAAACTTTGTATTCTGGTTTTACAACTAAAAGAGACAGACAGACCAGAAAGTCATATAAGTAAATATAAACCATTTTATAATCCTAACAGTAAGCTCTGGTATGATCATAAAACAGCCTATCAATATTCAGCATGAAGTTAAAAGTCCAAGTAAAGGGGGGAAAGGAAACAAACTAGCCAGGTTGCCATAACAACAACTATAGACATTCCCAATATTTTTCCTGGAATTTGGAACGTAAGTGCTATTCACTTTTTTAAAAAACACTGATCTCGAAATCCCAGTCACATTATCAGGTCAGGCAAGAATATGCACTTTAAAAATATGCCTGGTACCTCCAACTCCTTCCCAGATTATCAAGATCGTTATAAAAAATTTTGGCGAATGCTTGTTGGATGTGGAGGAAATAATGGTGACCATGGATCCCACATATGTGGTGGATCATGTGGAAAGATTAAGCATTTTTTTGGGGGGAAATATATGATCGAATTAAAACATAGATGATGGGGGATAACTTTTTACTAAAAACCGGAAGGTTCATTTTCTATTAAGTTATTTTAGATAAAGAGATCTCAAACAATTCTAAGAGAGGTTATTTTTGTATGCAACCGCACGGGCTTCGTATAACTTGTGGCCAAGGGATGGAAAGATCACCCCAGGCTCCCAAAAATAACAGATTGGGCAAATCAACATTACAGGAATTGGTGGTGACGGCTCAACTGAACTAGTATAACCTCAGAGCAACTCAAAGCAAAAATTAGCCGGGAAATGGGATGTTTAGTAAAAAATATGTTCAAAAACATACAAAATAATAGTTTTTGACTCCGTGCTAGCACATTCAATTTGATAAGGAACTAAAAGGATGGTGGAGTACAATTAAAGGATTTATTATGTTTTTCAGAATTGTAATTAGAAATTATATAGAAAGGTTATTGTTTTGTGACATTCAAATTAAGATAAATACAATCAAAGGGTCTGACAGAATCAAAGTTAAAGAAAGATTTTGAAGCACTAAAAGGGAACAAATATTGTACTTTCATTATATCATTTTCTGTGCGGGTGTGGGTTGTCGGCACAATGTGTGTTGTTGTACGGCATGTTTGGAGGCAACAATACGGAAATAACAATTAAATATCGATGTTAAAATGTAATTGTATGTCCTTAAATTATATTTTGTGGTAGTATGGCTGGATTTGGTTTTTTGTGAAAACATAAAACCCTTCACTAAAATCTATTTTTGAAAATAAACTAAAAACTGCCTATAATAACAAATTTGACTCACGTGATGTATTTTTCATAATGATGTCATAACTAACGATGTTTTAATGTACAGCAAAAAATTTTCTTAAATGACTGGCAGTTAAAAGACCTCACAAAAATAAATAAACAATGTAGAAAGAACAAGCCACGACTAAGCCTGCCCCAACATGCCCCGCCCTTCGTATTAGTTTTGCATGATCCCACAGATACTAGGCAGAATTGACACAGCTAAGGTCACAGAAGTCGGCCCTATGCCCAGAAAAACAGTAACATCAAAGTTTTGGCATCATAGAATGCAAGAAAGGGAGAATCCCATACACGAGCTTTGCAATTCCTTTCCAGCCCCAATCTAGGCAGGCTAAACTTCTCATCTCCTCTACTGCCTGGTGCTTACTCTTCTTGCAGGTGTGGTTGTGTAGTTAGTTAGTGTGGTAGAATAGCAATTCCCCCAATCAAACAAACAAAGAAACCCAAACAGTCAAAGTGCAACCGTCACATTAACTTGCAAATGAGCAAAACTTACATGCTTGGCGGCCAGCCAGCCTGTTACAGACAATTAAAAGCACACAGGCCAAGAGTCTTCGCTACCAGGCTCTGGGAAGATCTCACTCTGGAACCCTGCAAGATCGTCTGTTGGGTGGGTGGCAAGCATGCTCAAAAGTACGAATGATCACACGGGATGGTTCGTGCATTCCAACCACAATTTGGCTTGAACAACACTCACCCCATGAATATGCTATCCTTTCTGCACCAGTTATGAGCATTACCATTTGCCATATAAAATGCGAGTGCTGAGTGATTTCCATAGAACTGCAATGCATTCATATTTTGATTGTGGTGTGCTCTAAAAGAGATAACATGGTTTGGGGAGAATATAGAATTGCTGAATCATCAGTATATACCAACTTAATAAAATGTCATTTACCTTTTTATAAAACTTCTCTACAATCTGAACTAACGGTTTGTAAAAAGCTAAAGAAGAATCAAAGAACATTGAAAGGTTTAAATTTCAAATATGTAAGAAGTGTGAATTGTTACCTAAACCATTAGCATATCAAACTCAATCAAACAAGTGAAGGAAAATATCAATAGGTCATTTATTCAACTAGTCTCAACCTGCATTATAATACTCAAAGGAGTGTTGAAATGGAGTAATTTAAGGAATAACTTGACAGTGATAAAGTATCATAAAAGGCATTAAATTAAAATACTCAGTAAAATTAAATATTAATAAGTGAAGAGGACCCCCCATGTGATCTGAAAAAACACAGAACATGCTACAAATGTCCAAATACCTTTAAAAAAGTTGTACAAAAATAGAAATAAATGACCTTTACCATCACCTAATACTTTGATTGGCACTTTAGTAATAAGAACATCTTTGCACGAGAAATAGGAGTTTCATCCCCACAAAGAAGAGCTAAACATGGGGGTGGAGAGACGAAGAGAAACCAAGAATCGTAAACACAAGTAACTGAAATGCAGCTTGGAACTAACCCCTTGACTGAACTCCCATCCCAGTTAAATCTAAATGCTTCCAAACAAAAACTAATTAGTTTCAAATAACATGCCAATTTGTAAAGCATTCTGAAATTATGTCACACTATAAATGGCCATGTGTCCAAACTGCAACCCAATTAAAATGTTATAAAAGGCTGATGCAAGACTATGCCGTGCTCTTCATATGAATGCTGAAACCTGTATCTCAGGCAGATTCTCACAGACTTTTGTAGCAAAATGCACTCTATCCCCCTGCCACCGACTCAGGGGAACTGCAAGGGGTAACACGCCGTTGCCATTGTGTTCCTCATCCATGTGCTCCTCGAAGAAGCAATGACAGGGAGCAATGTTCCCCTATCCCTGCCAAAAGCGACACAACTTCGCCAACTCCCTGTCACCTGGACTTGCAGAGCTGAAAAGAAGCACCTCTGCGCATTTACCAGCAGACAGGGACAACGTGGCTGATGGTGCTGAAGGTTTTTATGCTTGGTGAAGTTCATTTAATTACAGTGTACCATCGCAAGACGAAGCCTCGCAAGAACAAAAAACATCGCTAACGAAAGGGCTTTTGAGCCGCTTCGTAAAACATTTTCCCTAGGGCTGCTCGCAAGACCGGAAACGTCTTGCAAGTTTTGTTCCCTATTCTAACACCGTTAATACAGTTGCGACTTGACTCGAGGAGCACTCATAGAACGCGTTGGTACCTTTTGAGGTTTTAAAGACCGGGGAATCAAATTACAATTCATATTCACTTATATGTACATAAATGCACAGATTGTAAAAACGTGATTCATTAAGAAAATGCTGTTTAAGTGGTTTAATTAACACAGTTAAGGATGTATCTTACTAAATAATATTTGGAGCAAACCTACTGGAATTGATGGGCAACAGGTGTTATGATTAACTTAATTTCACTGATTTGACTGGGTCTACTCAGAGTATAAATTTAGTTGGATATAAACTCTTGTAGCAAATGAAAACTAGTAAGTGGTGGAAATCAATCAATCATTTTGCTTCAGCAAAATGCTAAACCAAACACATTCTATCTAAAGTATTAGTTGTAAAATAAAGCATGTAAGCTAGACAGGAATATCCAACACCCTTGCTAATCCATATATAATTTGAGCTGAAAACAGGTGTATTATATTATCTGAAGTAACTTAAGGTATTTGTATTTCTAATGAGCAAGTTTAACTTTTTTAAGTGAGAATTTACTACCGGCCGATTCTGTGCAATAAAGAATTATACAAACTGAAAACTTCTACTCAGTGCAGTGTAATGGATACCTCAGTTCAATTAAGAGATTTCTGCTCTGTTACATTTACTGGACAGTGAAATCCTGGCATAGATGTAATCTATTTACAGTAGCCTCGCAACTTGGGGGGGTTATGTTCGGGGGGATTGCGCAAGCACCCCTACCTGTCCGATGCTGGCACGCTGAGCAGACATTGCACCACACATATAGAAGCTCTCCGTCTTGCTTATGGGGTTCTGGGAGGGTCTCATGGGAGCTTAAAAGCAAGGTGGAGAGCTTAAAAGCTCTTTCCAGAGTGGGAAAACCTGGTACCAAAATAACTTTTTAAAAGTTCTCTGGCTTGTGTGTGTTTCATTTGTGTGCTTGCAGCGAACTGGTCAGCAAATATGTAAAGCTGTGATTGTGCAAGTTAAAGGTGTGCAAGTTTTTTTGCAAAACCATTAAATCACTGTTCCCTCGGTTGAACGAAACAGGAGATTATAGTCAACAGAATACTTTCTAGTTTGTTAGCTTGTTCATATGAAGGAAAGGCATAAAGAGTCTGTGTGCACTGCCAAATGTTTGTTCATGTATCACCTTATTAAGCCAAAGTACGATTGTCTGAATATTGCCTATATTGCCTTTTTGATCAAGGACTCAAATTGGAGATACAATAACTGTAGATTCCTTCACAAAGCACATATTAAAGTATACAGATTCTAGTGCACATTAGAAATTTTTGAAAAGATTAAGCAATTAATCTATCATACCATCATAATGTTCTGCTGCCACCACTTTGGGTCACTAAACATACTAAAACTCAGTACTCTAAAGGAGTCTAACCTGTACTGGAAATCTAATGTGACAAACACATCCAGATAAATTAAAATAGGGTAAGAAACAGTGACCAAAGCATACACTATGGAACTCTTGTGAACAGTCCTGAGATTTCTTCCTGGGTGCAACATTTGGCATTAGGGCTGGGGGGAAAGATAGCAAGTTATTTACCTGCTGATGTGTATGTTTCTGTGTATGTGGTTCATTTTGTGCTGGAAAAGAAGGCTGGAAAGGTTGTTGCACCTGGGGTGAGGGTTGCATCCCAGGCTGAGCCATGGGAGGAAACTGTGATGCAGGTAGAAGTCCATAACTTGGCATTTGTCCATTTGGAGGAAGTGGGACCTTGTAGAAAAAAGAATATATAGGTATTTTCCATTAATTTAAAATCAAGAACAAGCTTTCAAAGTACTGCATGTCTAATTATTAAGTACTGTGCATAAGGGAAATGTTTCCAATACCTGGTGAAGCATAGGTTCCTGTTGCATTCCAAGCACTCGTTGCTGATACTGGTCTATATTTGGGAGCTGGGCATAAACTTGTTGCTGCATACCTTCACCCGGAAAACCACTGAGCAATAAATATGAGATTTTAAAGCAGCGTTTTAAGGACATAAAATTTAGTACAGTAACCCAGGCTGCCATCAGTGCTCCTCTCCCCATGAATTTTTTCCATGAATACAAACTTCCCCTCTTTGCTCCCCTCCTTCTGTTGCTTTTCTTTGTCAAGACTCTAGACTGCAGGCTCATTAGGGATGGAAACAGTATTCTAGCTGTTATAAGGATGGCACTATTTAAGTATTTTTTAAGCTGAGGTGGTAATATTCAACTGTAATTGCAGGATAGGGGCTTTTTTTGTTTTGCTTAGCAAACTGATGCATATCAAATATTGCATAATAAAAGAGTTCAAAACAATGAAGTCTAATGAAGAGAACCTATACATGCAACATTAGGCTTCTACAACATCACCTTAAATTTTAACATCTACTGGTCTGACTCATAAATCTTACAATGTTGGTTGAGAGATTGCAGGAGCTGTTGGTTCCTCTTTCTTGGTGTCTTCTACTGCTTCTGGTTCATCATCATAGTCAAATCGATCCAACAGCTTCTGAAACATATTACATTGAGCCAACTCTTATTTTCTTCAGTAAGTAATGAAAGACAAGTAAAACAATATAAGTACCACTGACAATGTAAGATCATTTTAAGTTTTGCATACCCAAAGTATGGTTCACCAGAAACCAGAAAGGGGGGAAGGAAATGTCACATGCAGTGGAGGTGGAATCAAGACTCCCTGAAATACTTGTTCTCATAGCATGAAACAATAATTTGGCATGGCATTCGACAAAAAACAAATCATCGAGTAAATTCCTTTTCAGTACAAGAAAAATATTACCTTATCAAAAGATGTCTTTTGCTCAGGTGCTGAGAAATCATGTTTTTGTTCGGATGGTTGTGTTGCTGTAGTCTGCAGCTGGGCAGTAATAGCATGGACCTGAGCCATTACATTGTTATCTATCACAGGAGATTGAGGTTTCGGAGGCTGCTGAAAAGTCTGCAGAATCTGTTGGAGCTAAAATAATGAAACTGCAACTATTAATATCTTCTTAGGAATGACCATGAAAACATCAGAGGCGTAATGAATGTACAACAATTGATGCCTTCCAATGGGTGGATATCTGCTCTCCCCACCCTCCAATCAGGCACTAGTTACCGCTATGCCTGGTGGGTATTATGGTACAAGGCAGCTGCTCTTGTGGCTCCTCCTCTGCTCTGTGTTCTTAAGCTATAAGGGAGCACAGAGGTAGCCATAATAGACAGCCACAAAAGAGAGCTTTGCATGGAAACCTAGTAAAGCACTGATGATCACACCAGCATATTCACACTCTCTCTTCTGCACTTAAAAGTCTACTAGTCCTCAAGAGAAGAGCTAGTGCTATACAGAAGAGTAAACAGCTGGCAAGAGAATAGAAAGGACATTTCTTACTCAAGCAGACAAAGGTCAGACATGTTATACATATGCATGATTTATTTTCAGACCAGATGTGATCAGTAAACAGCAGAAATATTGATTTCACTATTCACCAATGCAAGTCAACATCTTTTCAACATCTACATGCAGCTGCTGGGCAAGATCATAAGGGGGGTTGGGTTCGGTGTTCATCAATATGCGGATGATACCCAGCTCTACCTCTCTTTCAAAATCAGAACCAGTGAAGGCGGGGGAAGGTCCTGTGTGAGTGTCTGGAGGCAGTTGGAGGATGGATGGCGGCTAACAGATTGAGGTTGAATCCTGACAGGATAGAAGTACTGTTTTGGGGGGACAGGAGGCGGGCGGGTGTGGAGGACTCCCTGGTCCTGAATGGGGTAACTGTGCCTCTGAAGGACCAGGTGCGCAGCCTGGGAGTCATTTTGGACTCGCAGCTGTCCATGGAGGTGCAGGTCAATTCTGTGTCCAGGGCAGCTGTTTACTAGCTCCATTTGGTACGCAGGCTGAGACCCTACCTGCCCGTGGACTGTCTCGCCAGAGTGGGGGCATGCTTCTAGTTATCTCTCGCTTGGATTACTGTAATGTAATTTGAATTCTGTATTTTTGAACAAAAAGTCTCTGCTTGCCTGTTGTCCTTGTGTTGTCTGAAATAACTGGGCTACAGCTGCAAAGGCATCAGAACTGGGCAACTGCGGGCACAGCAGGTACTGAATTGGAAGCAACTTGAAGAGGCTCAGATGGAATCACTGTGGCAGGAGGTGGTGAACCTATAAAATAAATTTAAATGCAACATTAAGATTTCAAACAATTCCCACTGATAGCATTGGCACTTTTACACTATAATGCAAGTTTTTAAAATCAAAACTTGGGTGGTCAGTCTGTAGACCATTCGGCAAATATAGTCAGCAAGTTTTTTTTAATTCCACGGGCAGGATTCTCAAAATTAGATATCATGTGGCAATGCTTCATTGCCAAACACCCTCATGCCCTGCATGCCACAACACAAAGTATGTATTTTATTGTATTTTGAATATTTTTTGGAAGCCACCAGAGTGGCTGGGGAAAACCCAACCAGATGAGAAGGTTATAAATAATAAGTTATTGTTGTTTTTGGGGCCAGGTGAATATATGGCTGTAAGTATATGCTAAATATTCTTAGGACCAAACTAAATTTGACAATAATCATGCAAGTGGTAGTTACATAATTGTGTTCTGTACAGTAAACAGCAGCCACAGGTGAGTGGGGGCAATGATTAGGACTACAGCAGAGGCAAAGGGTTAAACCTCCCCACCAAAGCCTCGATCTATTCTGAGCCCACTCACGGCTATATTTCGTGGTGCTGTTTCTTAAAACACAAAACTTCTTTTTGCATGATTATTGTCATGTCTAGTTTCATCCACAGTCCCATATAAACTCCTATCTTTTTCTCTTTCTCTGTATTTCAGTAATCATACTTCTTTGTCATACTTCTGTAATAGAAAACCTTGATGACAAAGTTCAGGAAGCCTTTTGTAGCTTAACGAGCCTACAGACTTACAAATTTTGGGGGGGAAAACCTTTACAAAAGAATATTGATGATTGAATGGATATATGGAGAGCTACTAAACTGTTTAAGGTTAATATACTATTACACACACACCCCAGTATTATTAATGTATTTGCAGCAATTTGTATACCACAACATATAAAATACAGTGGTGCCCCGCAAGACGAATGCCTCGCAAGACGGAAAACCCGCAAGACGAGTGTCTGCAAGCCTCGCGCACCCGGCAGGAGGTCCCGCCGGGTGCGCGAGGCTTGGGGCGGCAGCCTGTCACCCGAAGCACGGGGAGCCCTCCGGAGGGCTTCCCCTGCTTCGGGCGAGTGTCTGCAAGCCTCGCACACCCGGCAGGAGGTCCCGCCGGGTGCGCGAGGCTTGGGGCGGCAGCCTGTCACCCGAAGCACGGGGAGCCCTCCGGAGAGCTCCCCTTGCTTTGGGCGAGTGTCTGCAAGCCTCGCGCGCCCGGCAGGAGGTCCGCCGGGTGCGCGAGGCTTGGGGCGGCAGCCTGTCACCCGAAGCACGGGGAGCCCTCCGGAGGGCTTCCCCTGCTTCGGGCGAGTGTCTGCAAGCCTCGCGCACCCGGCAGGAGGTCCCACCGGGTGTGCGAGGCTTGGGGCGGCAGCCTGTCGCCGAAGCACGGGGGAGCCCTCCGGAGTTGCTTCCCCTGCTTCGGGCGAGTGTCTGCAAGCCTCGCGCGCCCGGCAGGAGGTCCCGCCGGGTGCGCGAGGCTTGGGGCGGCAGCCTGTCACCCGAAGCACGGGGAGCCCTTCGGAGAGCTCCCCTTGCTTAGGGCGAGTGTCTGCAAGCCTCGCGCGCCCGGCAGGAGGTCCCGCCGGTGCGCGAGGCTTGGGGCGGCAGCCTGTCGCCCGAAGCACGGGGAGCCCTCCGGAGGGCTTCCCCTGCTTCGGGCGAGTGTCAGCAAGCCTCGGCGCACCCGGCAGGAGGTCCTGCCGGGTGCGCGAGGCTTGGGGCGGCAGCCTGTCGCCCGAAGCACGGGGAGCCCTCCGGAGGGCTTCCCCTGCTTCGGGCGAGTGTCAGCAAGCTTCGCGCGCCCGGCGGAGGTCCCCGGAGCTTGCGGGGCGGGAGGTGGGAAGAAGGGCTTTTTTCCCACCGCCAGCCTTCAGAACAGCCTTCTGAAGGCTGGCAGTGGGAAAAAAAGCCCTTGTTCCCCCCCCCCAGCCTTCAGAAGAGGTCGGGGGACAGACTGTCCCCGGACCTGGTCTGAAGGTGGTTTCCCTAGGAACGCATTAATTGATTTTCAATGCATTCCTATGGGAAACCGTGCATCGCAAGACGAAAAACTCGCAAGAAGAAAAAACTTGCGGAACGAATTAATTTCGTCTTGCGAGGCACCACTGTAACAGGATTCAATCTTACGGACCAGGGAAAGCCTGGACAAAAAGGTATGTCAACACAAGATGCCAGAAACATGTAACAGATTATGGTTCACATATGGCAGAGGGAAGGACATTTCACAGTGGTAGAAAATACTATTTGAGGACCAGTAATTTCCCTGTGATATTCTGTAGTGTTGTGCCATGAGTGAAAATTTCCCTGTGATCCTAAATGTGATATTGTGATACTGCAGGAGCAAGTGATATTGCTTAACTACTGAGCAATCTAAGGGGTGCCCCACTTACACATGGATGCCTAAATGTCAAGGCAAAATGACAAACCATTTCTGGTAACAGAATATGTTGTATAGTATCCAAATCATTGTGTATTTTATTTATTAGGCCATCTTAATATTTTCAGCCAGACTCATCAAGAACACAGCAATGGGTAGAAATAATTCTATTCAAAACATGGGAACAACAAAAAAAATGTTTTCACAGTACAATCCTAAACATACACATGAATAAGACAGTCAACCAAAAGGCTCTTCACAGCGCTCTTATTCTATAATACAATCACTTAGCCAAAACACGAACTTTATCATATTTTTAACAACAAAAATCTATCTCCAACTTTTGCTTGCAATTAATTCAGCCCATTCTATGCAGATTAAAGCAAATAAAGTCTGAGTTTGACAATATAGGCCCATAACAGAAAATAATGCTTTAACTAAAATTTCCTACCTTCATTATTAGTAGTATCTTCAGTCATTGAAGCAGTACTGCTAGCTCCTGCTGCCATGTCGAGGAGAGGTTGAATTATTTCTATTTTAAACACTCCATTTTTCTGCCATAAGTTGAGGACACGAACTATCTTACTCTGTTCAAAGAAGAGATGTGTAAGTACACTTTAAAAAAAATCTTCATTTGCTTAATCAAAGCTTAGGCAGTGTTCAGACAATACTGTCCCCCCGCTTCAGTTTTATACATCATGTGATCATGTAATGGACACATGCACTTTGTTTCCTATCATCTAAACTAAACAAATGTGAGACACCTGAGTTCAGATATCTTCTGTTCAGAGGAGAGACAAAACAAGGTGCATGAAACCAATCAATCTCACAATGCACAAAGATGAGAGCACAAAAATGCCATCTGTACAAGGCCCTAGTCCTTGCATGCACACGCACACACAAAGAGATTAGTACAGTACAAAACTTTTATACTTTGTTTCCTATGCTTTGTAACATTTTGTGACTTCTCCAGGAAATGACTGTGGACATGAGCAACAGTGAGAAGGAATGGAGAGATCAAATCCCATACAATATTTTTCATGACACACTTTATGGACCTCCGAACTTAGTAAATGATGGCTACTTTACTCTATTCTAGACGTGGGAATCAGTTTTGTCAGCATAATACATAAAAGCAGCAGGAACCCAAGCCTGTTCTAAGTCACCAGCCACATCTAGTTTGTGTTGCAGCTTTACTGTCAAATAGAATAAAATCCAGCTCACATGGCTTTCTACACAGAAGAGAAAAGTTCCTCCATAAGAGCTTTTAGTCATGAAGTGGTGAGGAAGAAGGGCCTCAAAAATTTAAAAGCCAACTAGAAAAGAAACATTCAACATCAAGGCCTCATTCAGAAATAGTATCCAATAATCAACAATGTGTGTTTATACATGGTAGACCAAATACAGTAGGATCAGAAGATATTCATTTCTCTCTCTCTCTCTCTCTCTCTCTCTCTCTCTCTCACACACACACACACACACACACGTCAAAATGCTACAAGAAACTGAGTTATACCTTGTCTTCTGTTGGACAGAGATATAAATACTGGAATGTGGCTGTTATATTTTTACAGAATCTTGGCCCAAAAACATCCTTATCTGTTCCAAATTGATGACGAGACTGACGAACAATAGAGTCAATAACATACAATCCAGGAACTTTGTATTCTGGTTTACACTAAAGAGACAGACAGACAGAAAGTCATATAAGTAATATACATTTTATAAATCCTAACAGTAAGCTCTGTATGATCATAAAACAGGCCTATCATATTAGCATGAAGTTAAAAGTCCAGAAAGGGGGGAAAGGAAAACAAACTAGCAGGTGCCATACAACACTATAGACATTCCAATATATTTTCCTGGAATTTGAACGTAAGTGCTATTCACTTTTTAAACACTGATCTCAGAAATCCAGTCACATATCAGGCAAGATATGCACTTTAAAAATATGCCTGGTACCTCACTCCTTCCAGATTATCAAGAATGTATAAAAATTTGGCGAATGCTTGTTGGAGATGTGGAGGAAATAATGGTGACATGATCCACATGTGGTGGACATGTGGAAAGATTAAGATTTTTTGGGGGGAAATATATGATGAATTAAAAAAGATGATGGGGATAACTTTTACTAAAAAACCGGAGGCATTTCTATTAAGTATTTTAGATAAAGAGATCCCAAAAAATCTAAGAGAGGTATTTTTGTATGCAACCGCAGCGGCTCGTATACTTGTGGCCAAGGGATGGAAAGATCACAAGGCTCCAAAAATAACAGATTGGCAAATCAAATTACAGGAATTGGTGGAGACGGCTCAACTGACTAGTAAACTCAGAGCAAACTCAAAGCAAAAATTAGCGGGAAAATGGGATGTTTATAAAAAATATGTTCAAAAATACAATAATAGTTTTGACTCCGTGCTAGCATTCAATTGATAAAGGAACTAAAAGGAGGTGGAGTACAATTAAGGATTTATTATGTTTTCAGAATGTATTAGAAAAATTATATAGAAAGGTTTATTGTTTTGTGTACATTCAAATGTAAGATAAAACATATGCAAAGGGTCTTGACAGGAAGTCAAAGTTGAAGAAAAGATTTTGGAAGATAAAAGGGGAAAAAATATTTACTTTCATTATTATCATTTTCTGTGCGGGTGTGGGTGTGTCTGCACATATGTGTGTTGTTGTATGCAATGTTTGGGAGGAAACAAGACGGTAAATAACAAATTAAATATCGATGTATGTAATTTTTATTTCTTAATTATATTTTGTGGTAGTATGGCTGTATTGTTTTTTGTAACATAAAACCATTCAATAAAAATTATTTTTAAAAATTAAATAAAAATCTGCCTATGAATATACATTAATTTGACTCAGTGATGGTTATTTTTCATAATGATGTCATAACTACGATGTTTTAATGTACATCATCAAATGTTTTTAAATGACTTGGCAGTTCAAAAAGACTCTCACAAAAATAAATAATCAATGTAGAATAGAACAAGCAGACTAAGCCTGCCCCAACATGCCCCGCCTTCGTATTAGTTGCATGTTACCCAGATCACAGGCAGAATTGACACAGCTAAGGTCAAGAATGTAGGCCCTATGTCCCAAAAATCAGTAACATCAAAGTTTTTGGCATCTAGAGATGCAAGAAAGGGAGATCCATACACAAGCTTTGCAATTCGCTTTCCAGCTCCCAATCTAGGCAGGCTAAACTTCCTCATCTCCTCTTATGCCTTGTGTGCTTACTTCTTCTTGCAGGTGTGTTGTGTATTAGTTTAGTGGTGGTTAGAATTAGCTAATTTCCCCAAACAAACAAACAAAGAAACCCAAACAGCAAAGTTGCAACCTGTGCACATTTAACTTGCATGATCAAAACTTTACATGCTTGGCGGCCAGCCAGCTGTTATCACACAAGTTAAAGCACACAAGGCAGAGAGTCTTGCTTACCAGGCTCTGGGAAGATCTCACTCTGGGAAGCTCCTGCAAGATCTTGTCTTGTTGGGGGTGGGGGTGGGGCAAGGCCCATGCTTCCAAAAAGTACGAATGATCACACGGGAGTGGTTTCGTGATTTTTCCAACTACACAATTTTGGCTTTACATACAATCCCCCATGTAATATGCTATCTTTCTGCACAGTTATGGAGCTATTACCATTGCCATAATTAATATATGCAGTTGCTGAGTGATTTCCCATAGAACTGCTAAATGCACATATTTTGATTGTGTGTGCTCTAAAAAATAACATGTTTTGGGGGAGAATATAAATTGCTGAATCATCAGTATATACAACTTAATAAATATTTCATTTACCTTTTTTATAAACTTCTCTACAATCTGGACTACGTGTTTGTAAAGCTGAAAGAGAATCAAAGAACATTTGAAATGTTTAATTTCATAATATGTTTAAGAAGTGTGAATTTGTTTACCTTAAACATTAGCATATAAACTCATATCAAACTAAGTAGAAGGAAATATATCATAGGTCATTTTATTAAACTAGTCTCAACCTGCATTTATAATTATCTCAAAGGAGTGTTTGAAATGGAGTTATTTTTAAAAATTACTTTGACAGTGATAAAAGTATACATTAAAAGCATTATAATTAAAATTATTCAGTATCTGTAAAATATTAATAAGTGAGAATGACTCTCAGTCCATGTGATCTTTGAAAAAACACAGAACATGCTACAAATGTTCAAACCTTTTAAAAATTTGTACAAAATAAAATAAATACTCTTTACTATCTCACCTTAATAGCTTTGATGGCAGCTTTAGTAATAAGAATCATCTTTGCACGAGAAATAGGAGGTTTCATCTCCATCAATGAGAAGAGCTAACATGGTGGGGTGGAGAGAAGAGAGAAACCAAGAATCGTAAAACACAAGTAACTGAAATGCAGCTTTGTTACTACACACCTTTTGATGAACTCTTTCCATCCCAGTTAAATGCTAAATAGCTTCAGAACTAAAAACTAATTAGTTCAAATAACAGTGCAAGTTGTAAAGCTATTTCTGAAATTATGTCACACTTATAAAGTGGCATGTTCCAAACTGCACCCATAAAATGTTATAAAAATGGCTGATCAGACTATTCCGTGCTCTTCATATGAAGCTGAAACCTGTATCTCAGGCAATTCTCCAGACTTTTGTAGTCAAAATGCACTCTAGTCTCTGCCACCACTCAGGGGACTGCAGGTGTACACCCGTTGTCCATTGTGTTCCTCATCCATCTGCCTTCGAAGAAGCAATGACAGGGAGCATGTTTCCCCTACCCTGCCAAAAAGGACACACTGCTCCAACTCCCTGTTCACCTGGGACTGCAGAGCTGAAAAGAAGCACCTTCTGGCATTTACCAGCAGACAGGGGACAAAGGGCTGATGGGTTGTGAAGGGTTTTTATGTTTTTGTGTGAATGTTTTATTTTAATATACAGTGGTACCTCGCAAGACGAATGCCTCGCAAGACAAAAAACTCGCTAGACGAAAGGGTTTTTTGAGCTGCTTCGTAAGACGATTTTCCCTATGGGCTTGCTTCGCAAGACGGAAACGTCTTGCAAGTTTGTTTCCTATTTCTTAACACCGTTAATACAGTTGCGACTTGACTTCGAGGAGCAACTCATAGAACGCGGTGTGGTAGCCTTTTTTGAGGTTTTTAAAGACTCTGGTGATTTTTGAAGCTTTTCCAAAACTTTCCCGACACCGTGCTTCGCAAGACAAAAAAAATCGCAAGGCGACAAAACTTACGGAACGAATTAATTTCGTCTTGCGAGGCACCACTGTACTAGAATCTGCTTTGAGGATCATTCAATTGAAAGGCAGGATAGAAATCTTATAAATAATGAATTAATAAAACAACAGGAACTCACATGAGAGAGTGCAGGAGTCCCAAAATATATTTTGGGGGGGGGGGGGAATCAAGGAGGCAATCTCCACCCTCACCCCACCCAAAAAAAGGAAACACAGCTCATTGAGGACTGAACATGCTCAGTTGCCCCAGAATGCTGAGGGGGAGTAGCTGGAAGTCTGAACAAAAGCACTCGGCACTGCAATGTTTTGTCCCAAAGGTTCCCTCAAATAATCAAGTGCCTATCAGTTTGGAGGTGAAATGGGACCAACCAAAAACAAGATATAGGTTTCTACATATTCTGGGGACTCCCTAGGAACACAGAAGTATTTAAGTTTGTAAACTAAACTAACAATAAAAAGAATTCAAAACCCACAAAACAGGCTGCCAATGGTTTATAAGCTCCTAAGACGTCCAGAATGCCAAGGTGGCAGGTGAGGAAGAGAGAAAGGAAGGAGGTGATAGATCAGAAGAAGCGTCAATTGGCCGGCTCAAGTTCCTAAGAGCTTTGTCTTCTGGGAGTGGGGAAGACTAAGGTTGCAGAGCTTGTATATGCCATGAGGTTAAAAAAAAACCTCCCTTCCCTCCACTATGTAGGGATGTTTTATAACTTTCGTAATATATAATGCCGCAATATATAATGGAAACAGGCATTTAGAAAAAAATGAAGACAGTAATGATGCTATTTTCCAGACATGCTGCTGTATATCCTCTTGGGGGAAAGAGGCCAGCTAACAAGAAAACAATCTCAGAAAGCAAATAAGAGATTCAACAGAAAGAGAGGCACCAAATTTCAGCAGAACAGTTAGAAGCAGGACTAGGATTTGGACAAATCCCCAGTTATAACTTGCCAGTCTAAATCCATAATAAATATTGATACGAGATCCTCATACACTGTACATAATTAAAAAGCTACCACACATTGTTAGACAAAAGTTTACTTTAATAGCTTTTTATTCATTCACAGTAGCACACTTGAATCAAAACAGCCTCAATAAATTGTGTCCTTAAGTTTGTCCTCTAAAGCCTAAGGGTTAACTCAACCAAAGCTTCCATTTATACATTTACTTGTTAAAGTTTGCAGCTCCCCCCCCCCTTTTGTAATATCATGTTGGTATTTAGAGGCTAGAACAGGGGTCTGCAACCCACGGCTCCGGAGCCGCATGTGGCTCTTTTACACCTTTGCCGCGACTCTGGGGCAGATACTAGCGAGGGGAGGAGGCGCATTGTGCTCCCCGACACTCCCCACTGTGGCGGGCGCTGTACTGGCTGTGACGTCGCATGGGGGCGGTGCGTGCGTTAGTCACGCACCGTCCCGACGTCACCTTCCCGCCCGCCCGCTACATTGTAAGGGGCATGTACGCTGGTCACTGCATTGAAAGGGGGCATGTACGCTGGTCACTGTTTTGAAGGGGAGTGAAGAACACACACACACAAAAAGGTAACTTGTTAATTTAACGTTTATTTCTATGAGGAGGAGTAATTCTGAGGGGTCAAACAAAGAAATAATAAAAAAGTGACAAAAAAGTTATTTTTATAATGACGAGTTTTGCGGCTCCCAGTTTTTTTCCCTTCGGAAACGGGTCCAAGTGGCTCTTTTTGTCTTAAAGGTTGCAGACCCCTGGGCTAGAAGAACAGTATTCAATGGTTTTACATTAATATACAAATGCCAAAGTAAAAAAAGCCATGCTGTTAAAAGACATCCGCCTACAGCTAAGTAAGCGATTAGTACAGGCAACTCTCATTTTGTGTGCATCACTGCAAACCCAGAAGTAGCAGGAAAGGGGGGCATAATGGGGCAGGGTGGCCAGAATGGGGCAGGTTTATGTGTACTTCGCCAACATGCACAATGACTTGGAACTGAACTCCCGTGCAAAACAGGTGTTGCCTGTGCTACCTATGTTTGTGTCCAAAACCAGTCCACTATCACACAACGGCTGTCAGTGCAAGTACTTCACTCCTAAACCAAGTTTAAAAAATCAACATTCCTAATAGCAAACTCAGGTTGCTTAGTACCAATAAAACAGGAGCCAAAACAGGACCACTGAGAAACTAGAGGTTTCTCAGCAAACTGAGGTAAAACCCAATGATCACAGAAGTACATTTTGCGCAACGCAGGAAGGGGAACGACACAACAGCCCAGCAGCAATCTCATATTGTGTGCCGTATGGGGGTGGGGGAACCAGAGAACAAAAAGAAAGGGTATATCCTTGGCTTTCTAGACTATCAAACCACTGCTGAAAGAATAAAGCCAGGATAAGATCACATACTTGTATAAAAATTAAGAACCTTACCATTTTAGGATCAGATTAAACATTAAAAGGGCCACGTGGCTGCTTGTTGAGAACTACATCTCCACTTTTCCCCAGTAACATCCTGTAGATGAAGATGCATGGCATCATCATGCTCATATTTCCTGCCCCACTCTACTAGAAGTCGCACATCTTCAGCAGTATACAGGCAACCAGTACAATTCTTGTAAAACCAGTGTTATACAGTTACAATGGTACACTGCTCAGCACTCTGAAGGCTGAATTCTGCATTAGCTGCAGCTTCCAAAGTTGCAGCTTCTTCAGAAATAGCAGCATATACAGAACATAATACAAACAAAAGATTACTAATGCATAGATTAAAATAAGAACACAAGAGCCTGCAGAACCAGGCCAGTGCCCATGTAGTCCAGCATCCTGTTCTCACAGCGACCACCCAGATGCCTATGGAAAGCCAAAAAGCAGAACCTGAATGCAGCAGTGATCTCTTCACTTGCGATTCCCAGCAACTGGCATTCAAGGCCATACTGCCTTCAACAGCATAAGTTACTGTGGCCAGGCTAGCTCAGTCCATAAACAGCAGGACCTGACAAAGCAGCTACAGCTGGAAAAAGACACCACGTGCCACCAATGCCACCCAGCATCAAGTGCCAATGCTGGAACCAGGAGTACCTCAATCTGTAACAGGTTGTCTATCTACTTCCCAGACACATGAGCTGCCTACATACACACACACACACACACACACACACACCCTCCATCTCAGGATTCAGTCTGTTTAAAATTACTCACTTTTATTAACATCCCAGAATAATCTACAGGAGTTATAAGCTTATAAAACCCCAGTATATACATAACTTTAAAAAACCTTTCTTTACCAGTTATAACATTCAGTTACCCAGCAAAACTTAGTTGTTTTAATCATTGGTAAGATTTTGCACAAAATTTACAAATTTGGATTGGGGGCTCTTTGTGGCCTCAATTTATCTAAAAAATATATGCAAACCACCAGCAACCTCACTCTGAACAAGAGGCCAGATTTAAGGGTAACGATCAAATATCTTCCTTCAAAAGAATTAATAAAGCCCTCAGACAGCCCCCAATTACCAGTGTGAGAGAATGTGGAACCTGTGTGTGTCCTGTAGCTTATGTTTACCAAAATCCTTCCCATAATGTTTCATGCCATATGAGAATGTTGCAATAACGAACAATTAGTCCTATTCAGAGCAAGACATCCAATGAGGCAATATGTACCATCCAAACCCAAGCATGGCATAAAATTCTGGTTATGATTCCACCAGAAACTAACAACTCATTTACAGGGTTCTGTGTGGAATAAAAGTGAGACTTTTTTCACCAGCATGCCATTAGCAAAGGAATTAGCAATGAAAAGCTTAGGTCTGACTGGTACACTGAAAACCAGAACTCTCTCTCCCCCCACCCCCCAGTTCTTTCTTTCAGCAGTTTTAATGTCTGTTAAAGGACTGTGATTCTCCTTTCTTGAATGTATATTGAGCAATTTCAGACGAGAATGCCAAGCCTTAGATTGTTCTTTATTATAATAAAACTAAAGGTGACATAAGATGGTTTTCATACACTTCCATGATCCAACTGTAGCCAAAGGTGGGTTTGTTTTTCCAAATACTTTACAGTGTATATTTAAATGCACGTTTTGGGAAAGCTGAACAAACCACAATGATGTGAACATCCCAAAAGATGTTT